TTTTTGATTTAGATTTTAGAGTTTATATTATGTTTACTAATTTATCCTTTTTTACGCCCTTATTAATTGATCTTGAACCTTTGGGCGTATTTCTATTTGTTAATTGTTTTTTATGTTATAAGATTACAAGAATGATAAGTTATTTCAATTCTATTTTTAATTTGACAAGTGAATTCATACTCTAATTTTATAAATTTTAATATTAAGAATTGGTTGGTTCGGTTCCGGTTCCAATCCGATCAGATTCTATAGTTAGATATGTAATCGATTGTTCAATAAAATTCTCTTTAATAGTTGATTTGATACGATTTTCTTTGAAATCGAATTGCATCGGACCAAATCCACTCTTACTTTGAGTTGATTTTCAAAGCTGTACAAAGTCATTCCAGCAGCATTGATTTGGCATTTGAAGATTGAGTGATGCTTGGTTACCAGGGCCACATGGGCCCGGCCCTGGTAAAAAGGATTCATCCTCGAATTTTTTTTTTTTTGATAACCCAAGTGTCCCAGCTTAGCCGGACTAAATCCTGGACCTCTAGCCCCCGGCCCCTCAGTGACTAGTGGAGGTAAATCGCAGGTTGTGCCCTTGTTGGTTCCCAGGTTCCCACATGACTTTTACTCCTTCCCCAAAGGGACCCTCCTCCATGGTTATTACATCACCAAGCTGCTCCAACCCTTCCTCTGGTTATTACATCACTTGACTGCTCCAACCAGGAATCGAACCCCCCACACTTGGTTCCAAAGCCCCCCAATGTGATTGTTCCGCCAACTTGGATGTGCCCTGGGGGGCGATTCATCCTCGAAAATTTGCTAATACGGACGGTGGGACACTCCACCAACAACAAGCATACATGGTCATAACAATTCCCTTTGTACATACATTTAAAGGTTTAACACGTGTAGAAAGTTAGTAGGTAGCGGGAGGGCAATTATGAATGTGAATTGTGCTACAGTTGCGTTTCTTCGACAATTTTGTTGATATTGTAGCACATTAAGGCCATGTTTCATTCTCATTATTTCCTCATTAAAATGAAAAATATGATCGTTATTTATCACATTAAGTTATCATATTTGACTTTTTATTTTTTGTATGAGACCCATAACGATTATATTTTTCATTCTCATTTTTATAGAATAATGTGGATCAAACGAGGGCTAAGAGTGCTTGAGAGCCATTTTATGTAAAAATACATTTTGGAGTAGTAAATTGTTGAAAAATAAAGAAAAGTTTTTGATTTACGTGTAATATTATTTTAATGAAGAATATGTGGTTAAAAAGAAGAGAGAGAAAAATGCATTTTGTAAAAATTGGTACCAAACGGGGCGTAAAATAGTAATGCCATTTAATTTCAGTGCCACTACAATTTCAATATAAATGACATTATATAACATCAAGTGGTAGTGAAAATATTACCTCAAGAAAGATGTTCACCAACCAAACTCGCCATCCACCCTACGGCAACTCCTACGTTTCTTTGACAATTAAAATTGTCTTTTAACCTACCTCCTCCTCTCTCTGGTTCTGTCACCGAAGATAATCAAACTCTGACCTGTTCTTGTAAGTGAACTTCTTGCACTGTCTGTCTGTCTCTTTAGTCTCCTAGATTACTTACTTCATTTTCCGTTGCTTATCGCTCATTAGACGCCAATTTTATTTTCAAGAAAGTGCAACAATTTCTTGATGGGTAGAATCCCATTGTAATTTTTTGCAAGTTTCATTTTTTTCTTAATTAACTGTTAAAGATTCAATCTTTATTATTCTGTTTTTGTTCATTATTTGTATGAAATTATATGGGATCATTTTATTTTGTTTTACTTTTGCAGTGAGTATATTTTATAGATTTTATTGTTTGACAATTCACAAAATATGAATTAATATGGGCGATATGAAATGTAATCATTTTTACCTGAAGACAATCACTGGCTTATCTAATCTATTCCTGTTTTTTTATTTTTGTTTGCTACTTTCAAGTGAATATTCTTTTGTTGGCTGATTGTAGTTTTGCCTGTAAAATCCTAGGAATCTTGGGCTAAAGTGATTACTATTCTGATGGCAAAAGAGGTTATAACCTCAGATGAACAGGTAATTTTCAGTCTAAATTTCCGTGTCTCAGAATGTAGGAGGAAACAAATTGGTGACTCTCCATATCTTTTCCTTGCTGTTGCATTTGCTTTCAGTAAGTACCAATTGAATGATGAAATGTCTGCCGGTTGGCTATATCGTTCCTTTAGGTTGTTCTTGGTGAGGAAATTGGCCATGTGAGATTGATCACCTTGAACCAGCCCCGGCGATTAAATGTTATTTCATCTAAAGTGGTATGTTGAAGGAATAGACTCCATATTGTTCTGTTATTGTTTTCGTTTCTGTGATGAAGGGACATCTCAGACTCTCAGTATTCTTTGACTAGGTTTCTTTGCTAGCAGAGTACCTGGAAAAATGGGAAAAAGATGATGATGCAGAGCTCATACTGATCAAGGTATAATTCGGAGCTATTACTCGTATTATGAAATTTGATGATTGATTAGTAGCATTTTTGCCTTTATGTCTACAATTTCCTCAGAAGTTTAGATGTAAGTTGCTCATGTTTTCTTAGGGAGCTGGACGTGCTTTTTCTGCTGGTGGGGATTTGAAAATGTTCTATGATGGAAGGACGTCGAGTAAGTAACTTAAGAGTACAAGATCTTGATCTGTTCAGCACTGCAAATGTTCCCTTAGCAATCTATTATTTTTTTTCTCAGAGGATTCATGTCTTGAAGTGGTTTATAGAATGTATTGGCTTTGTTACCACATCCATACATATCAGAAAACACAGGTATGATCATGACATACATCAGTGACTTGAAATCTTTACACAAAGGGAATCAAATATTCCTGAAAATTTGTGGAGTCCTTGCTGAGATCTACTATCTGTAATTACCTTGTCAGGTTGCTCTAGTTCATGGAATTTCTATGGGTGGAGGTGCATCCTTGATGGTTCCGATGAAGTTCTCTGTTGTCACTGAAAAGACTGTTAGTACTGAGTCTTCTTGCTTTTATTTGGATTTTGATCTTTTGGCTCTGAAAGACCATAGTCTAGTCTGCAGTCAATCTACTATGCCTTCTGAGATGCATCTCATCAATATTTTATGCTAGGTTTTTGCGACTCCTGAAGCAAGCATAGGCTTTCATACTGACTGTGGCTTTTCATACATTCTTTCCCGCCTCCCTGGGCATCTAGGTAATATCAAGAAAAAAATTCTTTTTCCTCTATTTATTCTCCATGAATAAAGACATTTGTGCATTACAAATGTATGCAGGGGAATACTTGGGCTTAACTGGGGCAAGGCTGAATGGTAAAGAATTAGTTGCAGCAGGACTTGCTACTCATTTTGTCCCTTCTGAGGTAATATGATGGTACCTTAGACGGTGATGACTACTTCCAAGGAAAAGCATGCACATGCACTCACACAGTCACGTTTTTGGGGTTCAAAGTCTGAATTTATACTCTCAATTACCTGTGTTAGATGTTTTAAATTTCTTTTTTCAGATATGAACTCATTGCCATGTTATGAGTTAAACAGTTTCTTCTTTTTGAATTCATTGCATATGTTATGAGAGTTGAAATAATTTATCTGTATGTGTGTGTGTGTGTGTGTGTGAATATATATATGTGTGTGTGTGTGTGTGTGTGTCCAAAGTATTGGATTCGATGTGCTTGTATGCCACAAGATATAATGAAAAACAAAGGTAAATCTTTTCCTGCATTTCTAGGAACAGTCCACCATATATTGTGTGTATCAGATTAGAAAGATTTGTGTGGAGAAGAGAAGTGCAGTTTCACTGGGCATCTACAAGCAGTCGCCAATATTTTGATTTGCTTCATCATGTCCTCGCTCTATCACTCTGAATTTTGTTATTACAGTGGCTTATGTCATCTCATTCCCTATTATATGCTGAACTTTTGACAGCGATTTTGGTGTTCTTGATTCGTTTTAAGTAAGATTTATTTATTTATTTATTTTTTCTTTTCTTTCCTGCTATTAACAGTGAACAAATAGTTGCAAGTTTTGTTGATCTTTATAATTTTCATTTAATCGCATCTGGAGCCTAACACATTTCTAATGGACCTTGAAACATGTCGGCCACATAAAATTTTAGAGAATTATTTTTCATAAACATATGGCTTATTAATCTCATGTATGACATTTTTTATGCACTAGAAATTACCTGAGCTAGAAAAGCAGTTGATAAGCTTGAATAGTGGTGAAGAGAATGCTGTCAAATCTGTCATTGAGGAATTCTCTGTAGATATTCAGATTGACGAAGGAAGTGTCCTAAACAAGTAATGTGTAATTTAATGAAAGTACATTTGCTATTTTCAAATGTTAACAGGATTTACATATTTAAGTTTTCACACAGGAGGGCAACAATGGACTTGTGTTTTTCCAAGGAGACTGTGGAGGATATCATATCATCACTTGTGAGTGATTTCTATTGTATGGGAATCGTGTAATAGCAATTTATTTGTCTTACGAGAATCACAAATTGATGTGTACTTTTATTCAGGAAGCTGAAGCGACCCAAGAAGGAAATGATTGGATGACTGCAACCCTTCAAGGCCTAAAGAGATCATCACCAACAGCGTTAAAGATAACATTTCAGTCGGTAATGATTTTTCTAATTCCATTCTTTGCTGCTGCAGAAGTAATATGTACATCATGTATTTTGAAAGTACTCGCGATGTATTACAGTATCCAACATTTTTATTCAAGCTGAAGAAATTAGGGTTTCTTTTATTAACAACACCCCGTTGCAGATCCAAGGATTATATATTGGCAAACAAGCAACATCCTGTTTATTATTGATTTTAAACAAAAATAGCATAGGTGAGGATGTTAAGATGTGAGTATGACTAATACTAAGATATATTAACGAAGAAACGAGGGCACATGAGAAGCATCAAAGGAGGATAGAAGGGAACAGCATTTTAGGTGATTCATACTTGTCGTGTATAAAGCTACAGAGATTACCAGTCAGGAGCAATGTGATTCCAGTAGAATAAACTATCCAAAATTAAACACGATCTGGTATGGTTGCAAAAGAAATTGATTTCATTCGGTTTTTGGTAGATGTAGTGGTTGATCGAACAGAGTTACAGAAAATGATTCATGTGACCTATCTATTTCTTTTAAGAAACAAGGCTTAGTATATTTTGTTGTTTTTGTATTACATATCATAATTAGGTTGGATTATGAATTGCTATTAAACTATTTCTTCTCATTCTATGTTAATTTCTAGGCCGCCTACTAGTCACATTGTCTTCAGAGCATAAAAATTTTCCCTGACTCTTGTCCTGAATGTTGCTTTTTAAATACTTCCAGATTCGTGAAGCAAGGAAACAAATATTGTCGGAGTGCCTAAAGAAAGAGTTTAGGCTCACAATGAATATTCTTCGGACTGTAATATCTGGTGATGTCTATGAGGTAATATAGAAAAAAATTTACCTTTTTTTTTCCAATAGGGATGCACAGTTCAATTTCAGGGTGTTCTTATTCTCTCTCTAAGTGATCCAATTTCTCATCTTTCCTTAGGGGATCAGAGCTTTCACAATTGATAAGGATAACTCTCCCAAAGTACTCTCTCTCTCTCTCTCTCTCGGCTTCTGTGCATGTTTACATGTCCTTGTCCAAATTGGAGTGTTTTTGCATGGCTGATGAAAATCGGAAAAAAAGTGTGAAACTTTTTTGCCTTTTTGTTTAAGGAGTTCGTGCTGTTAGCTCGTTAAAATTGAAACTAGACATTCCTACGTTCCACCATGTAAGGAATTTTCCGAAAATAGGTTGAGAAAAAAAAAACGAAAAGAATTAGGATGCACACACGAACCAAAACGACTATCAACAGCACAACCAAAATTTACATATGATAACCACCTTATTCTCTCTCTCTCTCTCTCTCCCCCCTTTTCTTCAACTTTACTACAGTGGGATCCCTCTACTCTGGAGAAAGTGGAAGCTGAGAAATTGAACCTCGTATTCCAGCCATTCGAAGAGGATTGGGAGCTCAAGATTCCTATAAGAGAAGATTCCAGGTTAGTATGCCTACCTTAGAGGTGTATGCTTGTAATTTTTTCCATGATCTTCTCTCTTTAAAATACATTTACTGCAAGGTAACTGATATTTTCATTCTTCCAACCAAATTGAATTGCAGATGGGAAGGAAAATATGAAGATTCGCCTTATGCACCTTCAAAGTGAGCCCAGAATCATATAGTTTGTTCTCTGGGCTGATTATGTATTCAAGTTTATGGTACTGAAATTCTGCAGGAATAAGTAGGACTAATATGAGTTAATAAAATGATTCCTTTTCCACTGGGGGAAAAATATTGAGAAACGTTATATGTGTTTGAGGAGACGCAATTAAGAAGAGTAATGTTTATGAAAATGTATTTAGAAAGATTGTGACATTTCCAAATTCGAATAGACACAAATAAGTCTACAAATATTTTTATTTTCGTCGATTTCGCAAAGGATTTTAATTTTTTTTAAGTTCTCGATTTTAATTTTGTTAGTGGAAGACTAGGTAAACAACAATGAGTTTAGTTTCATTCGATCTTGAGAAGCGAATTGCTCAATTACCAATTGTCCATTCATTAGTAGAGGCAAATAGCGATTTGAATAAAGTAATACTATGTTTTATTACTCATTTTTATCATTTGGTTGTGAATTCAACAAATAGGATTGATCCAACATTCTAAATTGAATGAATAATGCTATTTGCAGTTGCTCACTGCGGCAGTTGTTCTACGTGGCATACACATGACAGGTGGTAATTTGATGCATTAATGAATAAAAAAATTATCATATTAATGCATCAAATAATTACCTGCCATGTATATACCACGTAGGGCGACTACCGTAGTAAGGACTGTAAATAGCATTACTCAAATTGAATACAACATTGCTTTGAAAGATAATCTACATTTTTCTTGGAAAAATTGACAATATTTATTTTCAGA